AAAGCACTAAAATTGCAGGTATTTGTCACTATGGTCATCCCAAAAGGCCTTTATGGCCTCCAAGTTACCTAAGTTTAAAAAGAGAGAGAGAGAGAAAACCTCTGTAATTATATATGCCTCTACTCCTACCAAGTAGGCATGAACTATCTTCTGGAATATATATTATGGAGTAATTCCACAGGTTTAATGGAAAGAAAACCAGCTTGGTGGCATGTACCTGAACTACCAGCTACTGGGGAGGCTAAGACAGGAAGGTCACTTCAGCCTGGAAGTTTAAGACCAGCCTGGGCATCATAGACAGGCTCTGTCTCAACAAGCAAACAAAACCACTGGCAGAATGATGTTTTTTTGAATGTGTAGTTGGTTTGGCCACAGTGTATGTCTGAGTTACTTTGCATGTTGTAATAGTTACTTTACATGTTGCTGGAAAAAATTAAAAACCTTTGTTCTTCATACATAGCATTAAGAAAATGCAAAAGACAAACTAAAGACTGGGAGAAATATGCACAGATCATATATATGTGTATGTATGTACATATACATATAAGATAAAGCTATACCTATCTATCTAAACATCTCAAAGGACTTACATCCAGAGTATATAAAGAATTTTCAGAGCTCTATAGTAGAAACCCCAGCTAAGTTTTTAGAAAGGCAAAAGCCTTGAGCAAAAGAATTCACCAAAGAAGATACTCAAATGCAAAACAAATTAGTTAAAATACACTTACATTATTAGCTACTAGGGAAATGTAAATAAAACCACAACTAGATAGCAACATGCATTTTATGGTTAAAAAATGGTTAAAGCCTAAAGTAATCAATCCTACCAAGTACTGGAGCAAATGAAGCAATGGGAATACATAGCTAGCCGTGTGAATTTACGCAGTCACCGTGGGAAGGGTTTGGTTGTTGAACATAAGTTAAACTTACATCTACATATGACCTAGAATCCATGCCTTAGAGACAGAGATTTGCACTCACACAGAATATATGAATGTCTATAGAGGCTCTACAAATAAGAACAAAGGAAATGGAAGCAGCCCAAATGCACTCTCTGATGGTGAATGGATTAACAATCCATGAAGCACCATATTAAATATCATGGAAGGCTGTTCAGCAACAAAAAGAATCACACTGCTGATACATTTGACAATGTGCAGGAATAACAAAAACACTATGCTGAATGAAAGAAACCAGATACAAAAGGGTCATACTATATAGTTCTAGTTGAAATTTATTTCAATAGTTCACTTCAATAAGACTAACACTTTATCATTTCAAATGTATTTTTAGTGAATATATTTCACAAATACATTGACGAATCATACAATGCTGTCTGCATTGGATGCAAGTCTGGGCCACACTCCTTTGCAACTGGACCTGTGTAGCAGGCCTTTATTTGCCTTTATTGTCAACTGTGTGACTCCTGCATTGTTGTCAAAATAAACACCCCATATTTTAATTTTTTTCAAAGATCGATTTATTTGTTATGAATACAGTGTTCTGTCTGCATGTTTGCCTGCAGGCCAGAAGAGGGCATCAGATCTCATGATGACTGTGAGCCACCATGTGCTTGCTGGGAATTGAACTCAGGACCTTTGGAAGAGCAGCCACAGCACCACATTTTTTCTATATGACTTTGGTTGTTGTTACCACTGCTGGATGAACCTTTTTCTTAATTCTAGTTTGTCCTTCCTTCTTTCCTTCCTTCCTTCCTCCCTCCCTCCCTTTGTTTCTTCTTCTTCTTTTTTTTTTTTTTTTTTTTTTTTGGAGACAGGGTTTCTCTGTGTAGCCATGGATGTTCTTTCTGGATCTAGCTCTATAAACCAGGCTGTCCTCAAACTCACAGAGATCCTCCTGCTTCTGCCTCCTGAGTGTTGGGATTAAAGGCCTGTGACCACAACTTCCAGCTGGTTTATCTTTTTTTACTGTGCCCATTACCATGTCAGTCACCAGCAGCAGGAAGTCTGTCCAGCCATCCCTTAATTTCCTTCACAGAGATGACAGGCAGTGTTGTGGCTCCTGTATTATTGGCATGGTTATGAAGTGCCTACAGAGAGACCCAGGGAAGTGCCGAATTTTGCTCCATAGGACCCATCACGACCTCACTTCAGTATCTTGAGCACCCAAAAAGAGTTAGAAAGGCACCAATTTCATTTTTTGGTGACAGAAACCAGGATAAGGAACTGGAGAAGGACTGCAGACTCTTTAAAATGAATGGTACATATCATGATTATGACTGTGGTCATGGGTGCATGCATTTGTTGAAGGCTGAAGTTGAAAACGTTCACATCTTATTATCTAGCAAGATTTCTTTTAAGTATATTGCAGTGTTTATCAAACTACTGCTAGAGACTCACTATGAATGAGCTATTAAAGAACAATAAATCACTATCTCGAAGGTAATGAGGTCCAGGCTTCTTAACCAAAGGCTTGGTTAGTTTTGTATAGAATTATGTGGGCTGGACAGATGGTTTAGCATGTAAAGAACTTGCCAGTGAGCCTGATGACCAAGTTTTACTCCTAGGACCCACACAGTAGAAGCAGAGAACTAACTCCTTGCAGGTTGTCCTGTGACTACCATACACTTGATACGGCACACAAACACCCATACATGAGTGAATGTAAAAACCTTTTTAAAAATACCTTTACAACAGTACAATTTTGAGAAAAATCAATAATTTTAGGGTCCATTAAACCTGAATCTACCACTAGGTGGCCAGAAATTCTTAGTGAAATGGTATAGAAAATGAGTTTCACAAAATCTTTGTTTCAGTTTACTCTTAAAATTGCATTTATAAGATGGGCTTTTAATCCCAGCACTTATGAGACAGAAACAGGCAGATCTCTATGAGTTCAAGGACTTCCTGGTCTATAAATTGAGTTTCAGTCTCTAAAATAAGATAAAATAAAATGTTAAAATAAAGTCGTATCTATTACTGGTCTGTAGGTCTGCTGTGGAAGTCTGTTGTTTCCTTCGGCTGTAGTTTCAGGGACTGAACTTAGGTCACCATACTTTCCTGGAAAGAGCTTTTGCCCTCTTGAGCCATCTTGTCAATCCTGTCTCAGTTTATACAATTAGGCTGTAAATCTTTTACAACCAAGGTATGTGTTTAGACATACACTCCCATGCACACGAATACACACATGTGTGCTCACACATGCAAGTAAACACACACACACACACACACACACACACACACTGAAAACTCAGTACTGTATAAGAAACCTAAACAAAAAAAATAGATATGTACATAACAGCAGTGTGTTTGAAAAGTGGACTTTTGGAAATAACCCAAAATTCATGAATATGAAAGTAAGAAAATATTAAGCACTATGTTTGTTGTGGAATTCTCTACAGCTAAAATGAAAAACAAAAACAAAACTAAAGCTACATATATCAGGTGAGATGACTGTCACAAAACAAAAGAAAGTCAAAGAACCATAATATTTATTTATAAAGTTTCAAGTGATTTGAAAAAATTATGATGTAATGTCTATGCACTGTTCCTGATTATAGTATAATGGTGGGGTGCTGATAAACACAGGATAAAACTGAGTCAAACAAGGCTGGCCAGTGGGCATTACAATATGTTTCATTTCATATCTGTGTGGTTTGGACATTTACACTTCAGTCTTCATGGTCCACTTCATAGAAGTGGAACAGAAATGACTGTAGAACAGGAATCTAAGACAGCAGAATACTTTGTAACGGATGTATTTATCCTTACTTTATGTGTATGAATGGCTGTCTGATATGCATACCTAGTTCCCAGAGACCGGTTGGGGCAATGGATAGCCTAGAACTGGGATAGCAGATGGATTCAAGTCTCCATGTGAGTTCCAGGAACCAAACCCTGGTCTCTGAGAAAGCAATGTTTTTAACTACTGAACCATCTTTCCCCAATTCATGATTTATTAAGGGTATGTCTGTGGATTCAGCAATTCCTTATTTATTCCAAAATTGCATGTAAATCCATAAGAAGTTTCCTTCAAACCCAGTGTTAGCTGCTTGTCCCATACACTCGTGCTTAAGTTTGGGAAGGCTCTTATTCAGTGGCTGAATTATATAAATAACAACAGAATGTTTGATCAAAAAGCATTGGCTTTGAGATGCTGAAATGCTGGAAGCAGGCAACATAGGCGCATCATCAAAGAATAACTTTGATGGATAAACGTTAAGAGCAAAGGAAGGAGGCTGGTTCCCTCCTAGCTCCGTCCACTCAGTCATTGGTTAAACGGCGTGTGTCATCTTTTAACTACTTAGATTTCCTCATGTGTAATAGTTACAACTGCTCACTTTCGGCTCCCACAGAATGCTTTTCAAAAACGAGGCTCATTCAGTCAATCAAAATGCAACTTTGCCTTAGTTTTCAACACAAGCCCCAATCTCTGCACCCACAGTTTCACAGACTTCATTCTCATTTAAATAGTATTGGCTAGTAAAAGGAGATCGAGTTCTTACGTTTTAAAATGTGATAACTTTGAAACTCATTAACATCTAAATGCCGTTTGTTGTTAAAAAGTAACATCACGTCTACTGCGAAGTGAAAGTCTATATATAGTTCAGTTACCTTTCTCCGTTTTGACTGACAGAGCTCTGTTACAGGAGCACTTAAGGATGCCTTAGGAAAATCTTGTGCGCTCTAGTTATTACGGTATAGAAAAGGAGAAGAACCCTCAGACAGAACTCAGGAGAACCGGGAAAGCTGCACTAGGAGCCCATGCATCCCGGGTGGGTTCTTGACCTTGCCCTTGGTGTTGGAGCGGCTGCGCTGTTTCAGCGGTGACCCGTCCTGAAAGCTTCTGGCAAAAACCCGGAGCCTTCGGGCAGTCCGACGGCTAGCAGGCTCCACAGGTCCCTTTAAGGCACCCTACGCGTGGTAAAAGGGGAGCGCAGGGGGCGGGAGCAGGGTTCGCGATCGCATGCCACGTGACTGGGCTACAGACTGGCTCAGAGAGTTTGACAGAAGTTTGAATCGGACTCGAGGGCTTTCTGCAGCCGGCGGAGCAGCGCAGCGGACACAGCCTCCGAGAGCGCAAGCAGCAGCGCCCCCACGACCCAGCCCGCCAGCCAGCCTGGAGCCCGGCCTGCCCACGGCCGCGAGCCCGCCGTCCCCAGCGCCCCCGAGCGCCCCGCAGCCTCCCGGCCAGGGAGCCGAAACCCCGCATTGCGCCCAGCCGCCCCAGCATGTCCTCGACGGAGAGCCCCGGCCGCACATCGGACAAGTCTCCGCGCCCGCAGGTACGCCCCAAGCGCCCGGCCCGTGGACTTTGAGCAGCCCCTGTCCGCCTGGATGTCCTGCATGAGTCCGATTTCCCGTTCCCTGTCCCCCGCCCGTGTGAGTAGAGGGGGACCCACGCTCCCACACCCGCCCGCCCACCGCCTTGACTGTCTACTGGCTTTGTCTCGGCAGGTGGACCGCCTGCTCGTGGGGCTGCGCTGGCGGCGCCTGGAGGAGCCGCTGGGCTTCATCAAAGTTCTCCAGTGGGTGAGTCGGCCCTAGCCCCGGGCTATTTCGGGAGCCTGGATTGTGACGCGGACCCGAAGCAATGTGGCCCCGGAGGAGGCTGGGGACATGCAGTGGGCCCAGCTACTGCGGAAGGGTGGGGGGGTGGCGACAGGTGGGCGGGGGAGGGGAGAGCCAGGGCTGCTTCTCCAGCACTGAGTGGAAGGAGGGAGAGGAGCCAGGCCTGCGGAGTCCTGGATTCGGACCTTCTATGTGCAAGACGCCTTTGCCCAGGGCGCTCACATTTCACTCGGGCGAGAGGACCTGAGTGTAACCTTTCCAGAACTCTGATCCTGCACATACCACTCTTCAGTGGAGGGAGGGGTGAGAAGGACAGGGGTTTAAGGTCCGCTTTGCAGTGAGAGCAAAGCCTCAGAGGGCACCGGAGGGAAGGAAGAGGGTTACAGAAGCCTTTCTACCCAGAACGCTCTAGGACCTGGATGATCCTGGGGGTGGACTCAGGGGACAGACTCCCAGCTGAGGTCATTGGAGTAATTCGGGCATCTGTAACCGAGTAAAGAAGTGGATGAATGAACGAACAGTTTGCCAGTCCTACGATTAAATAAAACAATTAAGACAGAAGAAAATCCACAGCGTGAATGAAGTGTGGTAACTAGAATAACAGGACACTGGGCTGGGAAGGTGAGGTGGCAGGTTGCAGGCCTAGGTCTACCGTCTCAGCTCTGTGACCTTGGGCAAGTCACTTCTCTGGACATCGGTTTCCAACATTAGTCAAAGTTGGATCAAACCTGTCAGCATGCTAGACTATAGCTTGACATTAAATTTACCCTGTGTCCTTGAAACATTCATCTGCCCAGATCCTCAGTTTCAGGTGCTTTGGTCTAGTAGGAATATTGCCCCTGTTCTTAGACCCAATGCCCAAGATCATCATAAATTAGAAACATGGACAGGTGCAGTCAGTTTTTCAAAACACAAAGACATGGGGAACATTTTGTGAATTCTAACAAAAAGGATATTGTTAGAAAATCATGTGCCAACTGCTATATGAAGTTATTTGGGTTTAAAGGACTGTGCCACCACTGCCTGGCTTATATGAAATTATTAATGTGCCCTGGGCAGTGAATTCAGCCAGGGAACAGCTTACCCTTGATACCTGGGAGGAGTGAGTTCTAAAAAGCTTTGCATTCACCAGTGATACGATTTAGCACACTGTCACCAAATCCTGGATGGGAATCATCAAATTTGGAGTTCAGGGACAATAGTGCATTTGGGATTATCTCTGGGTATCTGAGACCCTGACTGGCTGCAGCCTGGGAGTCCCAAGTGCAAACAAACGATGGGACTTTCCACTTGCTTTGCTGCCTCAAGAGTGGGACCGATGTTGGCTGAGCTCCTTCACTTCCTGCCCCTTCTTGTTCTGACTTGAGCAGCAGAGGGGACTGAGTAGGAAAAGCATGGCTTCAAAGGAACTGGCATTCAGAAGGAAGGAGGCCTTGTGAGCAACCCAGAGCAACGGGACATCAGTGCGTCTAAACTAGACAAGTGGGTCTAATAGAGAGCTGAGATGGACTGTCCAGGGCCGGAGGAAACAGTGAGGGGAAACCATGGATCTGTTTTCCCTAGAAAGACTCTGAAACGCTTCCTTCTTAACCTGGCCAGTGTTTCCAGCACCACCTCCTACAACACTCCTGCACACATGACCCAAGCTTCTTCTAACCCTAAGTCCTAGGTTCCCAACTGCCTGATGCTGCAACCCCTTGCTACAGTTCCTCCTGTTGTGGTGACACACACACACACACCATAAAATTATTTTGTTGCTACTTCATAATGGTAATTTTGCTACTGTTATGAACCATAATATAAACATCTGATATACAGGAAATCTGACATTTGACCTCCAAGGGGGTCATGACCCACAGGTGAAAACCACTCTCCTAAGAATTAAGACTTCTCTGATTTTTTTTTTTTTTTTGGTTTTTACGAGACAGGGTTTCTCTGTATTGTTTCGGAGGCTATCGATCCAGCCCGGCCTCGAACTCACAGAGATCCGCCTGCCTCTGCCTCCCGAGTGCTGGGATTAAAGGCGTGCGCCACCACCGCCCGGCTAACACTTCTCTGACTTTTATGATTTTCAACTTTATAAAAAGTAATTGTACAAAACAGGGTCCCTCTTCCTCTTACACTGCTAAATCAGGTCTCTGGGAAAGACTTGGAACTGACCTTCATTCACAGGGTGGCATTAGAAAGAGCCATGATTTGCTTTTAGTGCTACTCCAGGTAACCTTAAATTCCGGGTGTGAGTTTGGCTTGCTTGAATCTTTGCAGATGAACAGAAAAGTCATAGGAACCAGTGTGAGAAATACTCCTTACTGTAGGAGAAACAGAAAACACAGATTATTATTATAATGGCAAAGGTTTTACTGGAATCCTTGTGAGAAGTGATGTAATTCTTTTGTGAGTCAGGACTTAGAGTGTCTTTAAGATTTGGAAATTAACTTGGCCATACTGACACACACTTTTAGTCCCAGCAGTTAGGAGGCAGAGACAGGTGGATCTCAGCCTGGTCTACCAAACCAAATAAACAAAAAGACTCAGAAATTAATCTCTCCTCAGTTCCAATTCAAGAATCTTATCAGGTCTATATCAAGCCAGCCAGACAACTCTATCTATCTATCTATCTATCTATCTATCTATCTATCTATCTATCTATCTATCTATCTATCTATCTTTTGTCTGTCTGTCCAACCGTCTGTCTGTCTGTCTGTCTGTCTGTCTGTCTGTTCATCCATCTGTCCATGCATCTGCCCATCTATCCATCTTATCTTTTGTTTTTGAGACAGGGTCTTTCTATATAGCCCTGGCTGACCTGGAACTCACAGGACTAGGCTGTCCTCCAACTCACAGAGATCTGCCTGCCTCTGCCTCCTAAGTACAGCCAAATAACTCTGAAGTAGGTTTTTGTTGTTTTCTTTTTAACATTTATATTATTTTATATTAGCATTAGAGAGAGACAGAGACAGAGACAGGGAGAGGGGGGAGGGAGGGAGGGAGGGAGGGAGGGAGGGAGGGAGGTGTGGCCCACAGTGCAGATGCCTGACATTCATTTGGAGGTCAAAGGAGTTTGTTTTCTCTTTTAATTTTTACATAGATTTTGGGAATGGAACTGCAGGTCACCAGGGTTACATGGCAAGTGCCTTTGAGCCATCTCCCTGGCTTCAAAAATGAGCTTTAAAAGAAAAGAAAGGAAAAAACACATAGGATTGGATGGACTTTGACCTAAATTCAGTCTCCTCTGTTCTCCATCCCTCAAAGCCTGGTTAAGTAATTAAATCGTTTTTTATTTAAAACATTTTTTAAAGTAATGAAATATTTATGGCCTCATTTTCTTCATCTGAAGCTAAACTGTGTCATCCACATTTACTGGAAGGACTATGGGAGGTAATGTCTACAATGCATGGAACATTCTTGAAGATTACAAAGAACAGATTCAATAAATGTGTGTTCCCTTCTCCCCCACCTTCCCTAACTTTCTTCTTTATGAATCCCGACCATCCCACTAGAATCACCCTTTGGTGAGGTTACTCAAATACCATTGCCAACCCTTCAGTTTGAATGTAAGGCAAAAAATAAACCAGGTAACTCAATCATGTGTGATTCCATTTCCTTACACATAATAATAGATCATATTAACTTTATCCTAGTGTGCCCTCCTGATGAGGTCTGATGATTTGAGAGGTGGGCAGGCTTTGGGATCTATAGTACAGAGAAGTTATTTCATTGGTGGAATTTATTTTCACTTGTTTGGTGTATTTTCTACTGGAGACTTTGAATGGACACTGTCAGAGTCCATAACAGCAATAGATGTTTGTGAGCAGGACTGGGGAAAAAACCTTTGTTCTTGTGCCTTGTAGTCCCTGGGGTTACCGTTCTTTGGGTTGGCACAGAATTATTACCGGTACACCAGTCAGCATCAGAGTGGAGCCCAAGCCTTAAACCTGGACGGTGCGAAGGAAAGGGAAGAAGAGGGGGAGGTAGAGGGAAAAGTATGACCATCACCATTCCCAGCATCAGAGCTCCAGAAACTCCCCTGCTCTCAGGTACCCTGTCTTTGTTCTTTATGATCAAGGTGTTATCTCATGGCCTTGTATGAGAGAGGCATGGTTTCAAGTTCTTCTCCTCTTGTTCCTGGGGCTTAGTTCCCTACGTGGTCATGGCAGAAAGAAATCTGGTACAGAAAAGTGGAGGGTTTGAAGCTGTGAATGGGCTGAGCTGGTATCTCTGCTCCTGCAGCCCAGGGCAGAGCTCCTGCCTTCCTCCTTGTAGCATGCTCTGCATCTCTGCATAGAAGAGACCTCTTCTTCAGCCTTAAGAATTCTTCGGGCTGGGCGGTGGTGGTGCACACTTTTAATCCCAGCACTCGGGAGGCAGAGGCAGGTGGATCGCTGTGAGTTCAAGGCCGGGCTAGACCGACAGCCTTCAAAACAATACGGAGAAACCCTGTCTTGTAAAACCAAAAAAAAAAAAAAAAAAAAAAAAAAAGAATTCTTCAGTACAGGGTGTTACTCATCTCCATATCTCAAGTGTCAGGGCACAAGGTAGATGCTGAGTTTCAAATGAATGAATGAAATAGAAGGAGCTCAGAACAGGGGATCAGGAGCTGTGAATTTGAAATCTAGCTCTTGCATTAGCTAAATATGACTTTGAGACACCACTTAATCAGAGGAAAGAGGGTGTCTGTGTCCAGAAGTGGTCTGATAATGTCTGAGGTCTTTTGGGTCCCTATGAGGCTCTCAGATTTTCCTGTTACCCACCAACTCTGCTATCTGGTACCACAGATTGTGGTGTTCTGGGTTTGAAGATAAAAGGGTTTATGGTAGAGCGCTTGACTAAAATACTTAATGCCCTGTGTTCACCAGACACCACAAAATGAATGAATAAAGAAACATTCACTCTGACAAATAAAAAGAAATCCACTATAGCCAGTGTTTAGATATTCCTAACTTTCAGAGAATCAAAATAGAAAAGAATAAACAATTAACAGCAGAGTTGTTATGAGTATATTTCACTTTTTGAAGAATCAGAGCAGGGTCCATAGTTTAGACTTAAAATTATCATTGATGCAGAGGCAGGCGGATCTTTGTGAGTTCGAGGCCAGCCTGGTCTACAGAGCGAGTTCCAGGACAGCCTCCAAAGCCACAGAGAAACCCTGTCTCAAAAAACCAAAAAAAATTATCATTGATGATGGGAAAATTCTGTAATCCATACAGATAGTAGAGCAGGATTTGCTGCATGTGGCTACTGAGCACTTGCTATGTGGCTTGTATGACAGAGCAACTGAATCTTAGCTTTTGTTTCATTTTATCTGAAGCAATTTAAATAGCCATAGTTGGCTGGACACTACTTGTTGAGTAATATGACTCTAAGGCATGAGCTCCATGAGGACATCACCCCCTCTGTCTCTCTCTCTCTCTCTTCCTCTCTGTTTCTGTCTCTGTGTGTCTCTCTCTCTGCTAAAGTGACTGGTACAGGTACACGCTTGAGAAATGCCATCTTTTTTTTTTCAGTTTAAAAACCTAGGTTCTCAGTTTATTTTCTGAAACAAAAATTGAACAAGGTGTCAGGTATTCAATCACTTCAAAGGGTCATTCATTTCCAGATGAGACAAATATCATTCTGAGATATCATGATATTGGCAGTCTTACAAATCAGCCTTGTTTTGTTCGACCAATAAATGCCATCTTTTGGCAGGTGTCCAACAGTGCCCAGGCAAGAAAAGGTTCCACACGTGGTATTCACTGCCCCAAAGTAGGAATCTGTACATGCGTCCTTATGCTTACTGACTAAAATACACCCTGCATTGCTGCCCTTCCTCAGATGTGACTGACACCCTGATCGTGTCCTGTCCTAGGCACCAGAAATGGAGAGGAATAAGGACTTCCATGGAGACAGAGAGTCACAGAGTGGGCGAAGATAGGAAAAACCCTCTGAGGATGAGCTAGTGAAGTCCACTGCTTTCCCTGAGAGGCCAACTTTGAGTATGTTAAGGATATGGGACAAAGGCATCAGTGACTTTTCTCTGTCCCTGGCTCTGTCAGGAAGGTGAGCACCAGTGCTCTGCTGCAGCTGTCAGAGTTTAGTTCAGATAGGGAAGCTATGCAGGCACGAGGCAGGTTCTCTGTCTTCCTTCCTCAGTATTGTCACCTATATAGATCATTCTTACTGCTTTGGAACAAACCTGCTGGAAACAGGGGCACACATGACCTTTACAGTGGCCCCAGCATTGAGCTCGGCCAGGCCAGGGCGTGCAAGGCATGGTGGTAGCACTGGATACCACCCAGGGGCAGAGCACAGCTGTTGGTAAACCCAGCCAAGAGCATGCTCTGCTGATATATTAACTTCAGAGGGTGGAGGAATGCCAGAGCTGGAAAAAGCCTTTAAATAAACCCCAAGTCCTTCCTCTTAAAAATGAAGAAACTGGGACTCAGAGAGCCAAGGCAACTAGTGAGTGAGTTACGGGGCCAAGACTAGAGCCCAGTTTCCTGATCCCTAACCTAGATCTCTTTTCCCTTTGATCAGCATTAGAAAAATAACACACAACTCTATTCTTGAGTGGATGCAGGTCCCAAGTATAGATTACTGTCTTCTTTTTGCATCATGTCCGAAACACTGACTGAGTGACAGAGAAGCAGATAGAAGCAAACATTAACAATATAGTCATCATTTAATAAGAATGCTCATATCATGCCAAAGGTAGGTGCATAGGAAATGGGCTGAAAAGACAATTTGGGAGAACAAGAGATTGCAGTTTCTTAATTTCTGTTCTAATCAATGTGTGTTCCCCCCAAAAGAAATGTGAGTATTATAGGATGGGAACATTTCATATCACTCAAAACAGAAGGTGTGATGAAAGGTAGAAAAGAAAACAATTCCAGTGGTCTGAAACATCCCTACTTCTTATCACTGGGAAATAACAGCATCAGCAGTTTACAAAGAGGAACAGCAGTGGGAAATAACAGAGGCTGATAAGGAAAGTGGAGGGTGTTTTCCTCTGGGCCTGAGTCAGGCCTCTCAACAAAGCTGGTGCTGTTGCTGGAAGGCTATATGCTTTCAGGGAAGAAAAGTCAGTACCACAAAATGGCTTAGTAGACGCCTCCCCTCCAATGAGGCAAGAAACTCCTGGAAGTTAGAAATAAAGGAAGGACAAGAGTCCACAACTGGTCAAGGAGGAATGAAAATGAAACTAAATGAAAAACATTCCAGGCATGCCTGATCTGGCTTGATCTATTTCTGATCTCTTGTTTGAAAGAGGGAAAATGTCTAGCTTTGAAACAGACATTTCCAAAGCCAGAATTACAGAGGTTTTGTGTTATTCGTTATCTTAAAGAAGCTATGTGTGCTCCCAAGTGCCATGCCCAATAGAGAGGTCTGGAAACTGTTTCTTCTCACTTCCCCTCCCTTGAGACCACACTCAAAGTCAGTCTTCTTCATTTGGCTATTTGGTCCAACACTTTGTTCAAGGAATACGATATTTGGAGTTGAAAGAAGAATGGCAGCTGAGGGTCCCTACCAGGAGGAACTAGTAAAAGGAATCCTTCTTTGCTGCCCACTAAGCATCTGCACCCTCTGGAGTCACAGGGTGGCTGCTTACCTTGGACAGGTGAGACCTTCTGATGCTCAAAGGGACTTCACTTTCTCTCAGCTCTTTGCTATTTTCGCCTTCGGGTCCTGCGGCTCTTACAGCGGGGAGACGGGAGCCATGGTTCGCTGCAACAAGGAAGCCAAGGACGTGAGCTCCATCATTGTTTCGTTCGGCTATCCCTTCAGGTGAGTGGGGATTGGTTCTGACCCAGTGCCCCCCTCTTTCTAGGTTAGCAGGGCTTTCTTCCTCCTCTGTTCCTGCCAACCTCTCGTCTTTTACTCGTACTCACAGGACACACAACCTAAAGAACAAGACCTGGCTCATTCTGTCTTTTAGCCATTTCACACACTCTCACCAGAGTGAAACTTGGATATACCATTGTTACGATGATGCAGTCCAAACTCAAACAATGCCAGCTCATCGCAGCTCATATGGAGAGAATCCAGCTGTTGGAGCTCTCTCTACAGATTCCTCTGTGCCTCGAAGGAAGCTTGTTAGAGTTTAGATATTAAACTATAGATGTGAAATGCTCACCTGATGTCACCCAAATACAAGGAGGTACATCTTGACCAGGAAGTAGAAGAGGATACTCACCCCTGAGTATTTGGGAGCCTAAGGAGCGGAGATGACTGTTCAGAGGGGTATGGAGGCAGAGTTCATCTTTTCAGAATGTCTGAAACCATTTCAGCCTCCAATTTAGATTAGGTATCTCTACACAGAAAGCTGTATTTTCCACTTTATTTTTTTCAATGTGGCCTAATCAAGGAGGGTTAAATCAAGTCTGTGAATGGGTAGTTCAAACCTTAACTTGGCCACTGCTTAATACAGTGTGTGTTTCTAAGGGCAGAATAAATCTGATTTGTCTACTTGTTTGGCTACCAGAAATAGTTGAACCGTATATATGTTGTGACTTAAAGGTCCTTAGAGATACTTAGAATCCAGGGTGACCATTTCTGGCCAGGTGGATGGGTGGCTGCTGATGGGGGATATAAGGCTTGGATGGAATCTTGAACCAGGGCTGTGACTCAGTGGTTAAAGCACTTGGCTAGCTTGTGTGAGACCCTATGTTCAACCTCCAGTATTACCAAAAAAAAAAAGATGAGTAGAATCTTGAGGTAGTATCTGGCTTGACAGCAAGATTTCCTCAGAAGTTCCTACCTAACATGACTCTTTTCCCAGGGTGAGAACAAACACAGGGGCCCTTCTTGGGCAGGGCTAGGGAGGCTTGGTCTTGGCTCAGCATGGCTTCCATTGCTGCCTGCAGGTTGCACCGGGTCCAGTATGAGATGCCGCTCTGTGACGAGGACTCCACCTCCAAAACTATGCACCTCATGGGAGACTTCTCTGCCCCGGCAGAGTTCTTTGTGACGCTTGGCATCTTTTCCTTCTTCTATACAATGGCTGCCCTAGTCCTGTACCTGCGCTTCCACAACCTCTACACAGAGAACAAACGCTTCCCATTGGTGGTAAGTGAGCACAGCCCAGACGGACAAGAAAAGGAAGAGCCATTTGTTAGAAGGCCAAAATCGAGGTGGAGGGGAGGTCAAAAGTGATGGCTTCTCTGAGCCCTCGACACCTATGTGCGAAATGGAACCTCTGCCCTTGCAACCTCTCTTGGTTTGTTTGCAGTCAGAGGAGACAGGATCAAGAGCTAGCCTAACTGGGTTCAAATCCTAGCACTTGCTCATAGTAGCTGTGTGACATTAGATGAACTACTCAGTCTCTCTGCACATTAATTTCCTTGACTAGAAAATAAAGATGGAGTAGTTAATACTTGTGCCAAGTGTTTGGGGGAGGAGAAAATGAATACATATGTATAGCATCTAGCATGTATTATTCTCAATGAGAGCTATCTATTATTAGTATTATTTCCTCTACTTCCTCTGTCTTTCAGACTTTCAATATGGGAAGTGGGCTTTAGAGACCTCAATTGTCTTCTGAATCTGCCTTCCTCATTACTTATAGTTTGAACAGTGGTGATCAAAGGGAAGCTGAGAGGAAAGAGCAGGGAGTTTAAGTCACTTGGGTTGCAATGAGAGATTACCTTGGCAACTCATTGCCTGACCTTAATTCTACGGGCAGGGGTATGAGTGGCAGCATTCCTTTGGTGGCACTGAACAGAGTCCTCAGGGGATGGATGGGAAGAGACAACTGTCTTGGGACCTCTGGATTCTGGTGTGACAAGAGGAAAGGAAGTTAACTGATGATCACAGGGCCTTCCTGAATATGTCTTCTTCCCTCTGCTCCTCCTAGGATTTCTGTGTGACTGTCTCCTTCACCTTCTTCTGGCTGGTTGCTGCCGCTGCCTGGGGCAAGGGCTTGACCGATGTCAAAGGGGCCACAAGGCCGTCCAGCCTGACTGCAGCCATGTCCGTGTGTCATGGAGAGGATGCAGTATGCAGTGCCGGGGCCACACCCTCGATGGGGCTAGCTAACATCTCCGTGGTGAGACCCGGGTCTGGGAAAGGTGTAGCAGCCCAGCTGTCCCAGCTGGTTGGTTCTGAGAAGAATAGAGAAGGTGTCCCCAGAGCCCATATGCGGTGCCTCTAGACATTGACCTGAGAAGATATTTTTGGATGAGAGTCTGAGTCACTCCCTTACCATCGCCCCCTCCCACATTCAGCTGCCCTGGAGGTGACCCTTTCTTGTCTGTTTGGTCACATGTCACATGAGAGCGTGTGCAAAGGGTGCTCAGGGCTGTGAGTGGACCACTGTGAGAGAGAAACTGTCCCTTGTCACTTAACCCTCCCTGCCGGAAAGGTGGGTTCAACGAGCAGGCAATCCAAGTGTTGGCTGTCTTGGTTGTTACAATGCTGAGATGCATCTATATAAGCTGGTAAATACCCACCCACAGCAAATGCCCTTCTCAAATGCCCTCTTGTCATCTTAGCCACCCCATACCACTCAGAAAATGCCCCAGACCTCCCCAGGCCCACAATTGAAATGTTTAATGGCCAGTGCACCAGGGAGCCCTCTGAAACCATGCATATAGGTTTCTCTTCCAATTTTTAAATATACAATTTTTCACATATCCAGTAAAACTGAAAAAAAATCACAGGAGAGGCCTACATACTCACCACCTAAATTGTAACATTTCAATGTGTCTGTTTTATATGTATTTACCCATCTTTCCTTATCTATTATTTTTGTTTCAAATTTTGAGTCTTGCTATTTAACCCAAGTTGTCCTTGAACGTATATAGCCCAAGATGGGTTGTTTTGTTTTGTTGAGACAGGGTATCTCTGTGTAACTTTGAAGCCTGTCCTGGAACTGGCTCTGCAGACCAGGCTGACCTCAAACTCACAGAGATCTGCCTATCTCTGCTTCCTTAGTACTGGGATTAAAGGCATGCGCCACCACCGCCCAGCCCAAGCTGCCTTTGAATTGATGAATCTCTTACCTTGGCCTTCTAAATACTGGGATTTCTGATTTGTGCTACTACACTTGGCTTTTTGTTTGTGTTTTGAGATACTCTGTTGTGTGACCCAGACTGTTCTTGAATTCACAATCTTCCTTCCCTTATCTCCTAAATGCTAGGATTACACAGGTGTAAACTACCATCATCTTATTAGTATTATTATTTTGAGACAAAGTCTTACTATATAACCCTGGCTGGCCTGGAACTCACTATGTAGAACAGACTGGTCTCCAATTCATAAGGATCTGCCTGTCTCTGCCTTGTAAGTACTAGGAGCAAAGGTATGCACCACCATGGCCAACTCAATCCACTTTAAAAAATGCTTTTCAAAGTGAATTGCAAACATCAGTTCCTTTCTCCGTAATTACTATCTTGTTAGTTTTTTGGGGTTTGGTTTTTTGTTGTTGTTGATGTTGGTGTGTGTGTGTTTTGAGACAGGGTCTTTCAGTGTAGCCATGGCTGTCCTGGAACTGTCTTATGTAAACGAGACTGGCCTCCAAATCCAAATCACAGAGATTCACCTGCCTTTACCTCTGAAGTACTGGGGTTAAAGGTGTGTGCCACTACCCTCTCTATGTTGTTAGTTTTTCAAAACACTTAAAATAAATATTTGAATAGAACTAGTGTGGTAGCACACACCTGTAATACCAACAGCCTGTCAGGCAGAGGCAGGAGGGTCACAGGTTCTAGAACAGGCTGGGTACGCAGGGAAAACAAACAACAACAGCAAAAACAACGTGTTTGAACAAAGCCTTCACTCACTGAGTCTCTAGGCCTCGAGGAGTACCTTGGACAGCTCCAGTCTCCCGCACCTCGAGCAGGCAGGCAAGTGTTCTTTGATTTATGTAGTGTTCCTAGGGCCAGAATCAGCTAGTGACCAAGCTACACTGCCAATGAGTGCTCTGAATAGAGTTTAGATACTTTCACTAGAGAACCCCTTGAAAGACAATGGCCTTGAACCCTCCCAGTTCTCTATGCACTTCCTCTTCCCGTTTCTCATGCGGCTCCTCCTTCACTATTCTCACAAACTCTCCCGGTTTCTTTTTTTAGCTCTTCGGTTTTATCAACTTCTTCCTGTGGGCTGGAAACTGTTGGTTTGTGTTCAAAGAGACACCGTGGCACGGACAGGGCCAGGACCAGGGCCAGGGCCCCAGCCAGGAGAGTGCAGCGGAACAGGGGGCAGTGGAGAAGCAGTGAACAGCGGGCTGCTCCTGAGCTGGACAGCACCTCTTCATCTCCGGCTTCCACAGGACCCTCCTCCTCCACCTCCCTTCCCCCCACCATCCTGGGCTTTGAGATTTGAGACGATGGATGGGTAGGCATCAGCTATTGGTAACCTGGGCAGCCCTCTACTGGTCTCCTAACCCCTCACCCCGCTGGAGCTGCAAATGGCAGGAACTCAGTACTTCTTGTCTACTGCCTGGACTTGGGTATCTCACTGGGCTTTAATTTGGCCCTCAAAGAGCCTCTGCTTGCTGCAGGGGAGGGCAGGAAACTAGAGTCCTGATGCGGGTCTCTAAAAGCTGCCCTGCAGTCTCAGTGCAGTGAGGGGAAGGGAAGTCATCTGGCAGCCTTACCCTGACTCCTGCATGGAGGGCCCAGCAGTGACTTGATGACATCCCTTAATGGCTGTCATCTAGTCTCTGTATCTTATCTGTAGCCCTACCAGAGCCCAATGTGCTCCCCAGTCTCCCCTCTGACCTCTGTTTGCCCATAGCTCCCACTGTGTGTGAAACAGGGGGACCCTTCACCCTACCTAAGGGTCCACATGAGGCCCGGACTCAGTGGGAGCAGATAGAGTTGCCATTGCGCTGCAACCTTAAGGAAGAACGTCAGGAAAAGTTGCTGGCAGAATACATTTTCTGTCCCCTCAGCTCTCCCTGTCCCTCAGCTGGAACACTTTCAGTTGCTCCCTAAACTCTACTTACTTGTGGAACTCCTAACTTCCTTCTCCTCCGTGGACTTGGTTTTGTCTCACACTTAGGAAACAAGATGAGAAGGCTAGGAATATTTCTGCTTCTTTCTCCCATCCCCACGCCCACCCGCCTATCAGCCCTCTCCCTTCCCTAACCTTTTGGAGATGAGACATTTAAGATATTCTTTTTTGATGTCCGTCCAGGCCTTCCTTTTATTCCTGGGGCCATTAGGAGGGCCTAAAGGACCATCATTAGGCAGAGGTGCCCAAGAGTCCCAGGACATAGATAGATGGGCCCCCTTGTCCCTTACTGTCTGCTCTTTTTCTCCAGCCAGCGCCTCTTCTAGTCTTTCATACCTTTCCTTCCTCGTCTTTACAAAACGGTGTTCTCTCTCCTAGCCTTGTCCCTTGCTTCCTTGCGGCAGCCAGACTCCACCCCTCCCCCTCCTGGGCAGCCTGATGCTATTGGTGCTTCTTCACTTCGGGACCTAGTTCCATATTGTCTTTAGTGTGTCCTCTTCCTGACACTTCCTTCCATCTCTCCTTGGGCCCCAAGGTCTAAGGGTGCCAACTGGGTGAATACCATCGGCCTCCTACCCAGATCATAACTCCTTTGGTCTACTCTGGCACCAGGGCTGCTCAGGAAAAGATGAAGAAGGAAGAATCCAGCCATTTCCCAATGTAGTTCCAAAGATGAATGTGTCCTGTGCTAACCTGTCCTCAAGACAGGGCCAACCCCCTCCAACCTCCTTACCTTCCCCAATGCTACCCACCTCAAGATGTGTATTACTTGGGCCCCCAGCACTTAGAACCCTTAACTTTGGGCCATCCATTTCTTCTTTGGGTTATAATCCCCCACTCGACAGGGAAAGTATGGTTTTTTTACACACTTCTAGATGCTTCCGAGCCCTTCAGTAAAAGAATTTGGAATTTCTGTTTTCTGTTCTAGATTTTGGGGAAATAATTAAAGGATGGAAAAAATTGATGAGGGCGAGAATGTTCCTAAATCTGAAACTGTCTATCCTAAGTTGTCACCTTGGTTAAGGACAAGGGTGACAGTTTTGTCTACAGCTCTAGAGATACAAAGAACAAAGGGGTGACCTTCATTTTTCTCCAAGCAAGCCCCTGTGGGGATCTGTGAGCAGCTTCTACTCGAACTCTGTTTGGATTCTGCATCTATATTTATAATTTATTTGAAATGTGATGGATAAGGTGTTCTCTTTTGGGGCCTAAGTTAGCAACTAGCTCATCAACTGCTTTAGAAAGGGAACTAACTGTCCATGCCCACTGGGCACTCTCAGCCCAGAGCTCTCTCTAGGGCTGAGAAGGCTCTTCCTCACAAAGAGTCTGGATGGTTCTTGGCCAGAAGAGCCCTGATTCAGGCTATGGCCTCTCTCTCTATGCTCACCTCATTACCTCCAGAGGGCTGAGCAGGGGTAAGTGCCAAGGGCAGGGCTGTCCTCACAGGACTCATGTCGTCTCCAACCAGGGCTGGCACCGCCACTTTGCCTAGTCAGGCCTGAAGTAGGAAAAGGTGTCTGGTTTCTCTAGCTGTTGCAGGAGGCCAACGACCAGAGGACTTGCCCTTTGCCCTGTTCGACTCTGACCATGTGGAGATGCCCATCCAGGATCTTTCTTAGACACAAGATCCCTTCAACATCCTGACCATGGGTCTCTTAATTCTGGGACTGCATATCAAGGTGGGGGAGAATGTTGCATGTTGTTTCCTGGTGCTTGTTATTACACAGTTGAATAAACAATGATGCAAACATTTGCCACAAAGAAGTTAAGACTGGAGGACTTCTGGGAATTTTTTTCCTCTCCTTTCCCCTTGTTCTACATTTTTGGACAAATATCAGCATTTCTACCAAGACATCACTTGACTCCTCTATACTCTGCACCCTAGAAAATAGAGTCTGCTGGCTGAGCAATTGTTCTTGGCAAGCCCCAGGCTGGTGACATCGACTCTTTTGGTGGCACCCAATTAGTCCAAAGAAACTGAGACTCATTAGCAAATTTGGATCAAACTCAAAAGGCAAAAGATAGTGGCTTCCATAGTGCTGTCTCCATTTGCTCTCCTACCATCTGTGACCCAAAGGAAGAGTTGAGGCCCATATGCTTCCTTCTCTACTCTGAGGCACACGCCACACAAGCTTGCACCTCCATCCCCTTCAGACAGACAGTCACGTGTTACATTTGCATTCCCTAGAGAAATGTACTTGGACATAGCTTTATATCTAATCTCATCAGGCTCTTGGGCCTCTTAGAGATCACTTATGGGTGAGTCTTTGGCTTACAACTTCTGCTCAGATATTATCCTTTAATGTAAACTGTTCTTATATGAAAAGCAGAAAGTCTGCAGTCTTAAAGCCACAGACTTTGACTTATTTGCTCCCAATCTTGGTTTCTTTTGGGCAAAGGGATACAATATGGCGTGAGATGTGAGGTATTGAAAGAAAAAGAGGATTAATATTTCATTTCCAACGAGAATGGGAAGGATGTGGAGGCAGACTTTTGTCTTTGGTATGAGGGAAAAAATGTTATCAGCTGAGAAGGTGGGTGATTAAGGTACTTCCTGGGCCTTAGCAGGAAAAAAGAAAAGATAGATATGTTGAGAAGCCTCCCCATGCCAAGGCTTCAGTAGTAGCTTTTCCAGCAGTGAAAAGATTCATTAGAAAAAGAAGTCGAAATGATGGATGGAGTCAGGGTCCAGCCAGGATTTGGGAAGAGGCAGTGCAGGTTATCGATCGTAGTTCCCAGGAGGAGAGAGATGGACCAGCAGAGACACTGCAAACACCAGAGAAGCCTCGGGCCACCCTAGTTCCGGGGCTGGTTCTGGCTCCGAGATAGCCTTCTGTCATACTGACAGGTGATCTTGGCAAGCTCAGCCAGGTCCTCCCAAACCTAGACAACAGTACGCCAACCCTCCGTTCTGCATCAAGGCAGCGTGGGTTTTCCACAGAGGTACAGCACAGGAGCTGGGGCCCTCCCCCACTGCAACCCCTGTGTCCTTCAGCACGTCCTGCAGACTCCCTCCCCTTGCCCTTCTGATTCACTGCGCCCACCTCCCTGCACCTACCCCATTCGATCTACAGGGGAGCAGAGTCGTTTCGTGGCCGCCAGCCCAGGAAGGGGCGCCAGCTAGCTGGCGGATGCACGGTTTTAGGGGGTATCTTGGGCAGAGAGAGGTTTGGGGCTCGGGTGTGCGTAGTAAGCTTGGGAGAGCGGACAGGTGGCGCGAAGGATGTGTGCAGAGGGGTTGGAAGAGGGTATCCCGAGGTTTTGATCTCTCCTTGCCCGCGTGCGATTGTGCGTTTTGGAAGGGATCCCTCGGCTAGCTCCATAGGCATCGCCACCCCTCCGCAACTACACTTCCCAGAAAGCTGTGCGGGAGTGAGGAGGTGGTGGCAGGAGACCCGAACTGCGCTTGCGCACAGAGTGAACTGGCAAGGTAGGGGGAGAGGGAGGCGTGCCCCCCGGTCGGGGAGGGTGGGGGGAGGGGGCCGCGCGGCGGCGGCGCCGGGGCGGGCGCGCGTCCGCGGCGGTGATGGCGGTGCGTGAACGCGCGGTGGCAGCAATGGCCGCTCTGGAGCGGCGAGTGCCGAGTCTCGATGACTTCGCGGGACAGAGCTGGAGCTCGTGGGTGGAACGGGCCGACCTGCCTGCGGCAGACGGTGAGTACAGCCACACTAGAGTCCGGAGACCCCACCACTACCTCCCCTCCCCCCCTCAGGGCCCCCTCCAGCGGAGGGGAGACGCCGACTAGAGCCGCCGTCCGGCTCCCCGGCCCCCCCAAACAAAGGACCCGCCGGGTCCTAGTGCCCGCCTGCTCAGCCACCTTCGCGCCTCCGGGTCCTAGCGCCGGCGCATCGCTTGCAGCCCACCCTGCCCACCTCTGTCTCTGCGGGTGCACAGAACCTGCCCCCTACTTTATTTGCCATTATCTTTCGTCTTGTGTGCTGGCCTTCAGTTTCCATCCTTCTTGCACCTGCTTCTGCCCTACCCATCTGCAACAGTCCTCTCCACGTGTTTCCCACGCACCCCACTTCTGTGCCCCCCTGGCCACCCCCTTGATCCTTCGCCTTTTGCCCCACACCTTAGCTTTTCCCCACATTTCCCTGCCTGCTGCAGTATTCGTGAACCCCCGCCCCCTCTGCTTCAGTTCGTCCATCCTCCATACATCCATCTATCCTCGCTACCGCCCTCCTTCAGCCCGTCCATCCAGGCCTCCAAGCCTCCATCCTTCCCTGGGCCTCTTGCCCTGCCCCTTGGCTCTCTCCCTTGACCCCTGTTTTCTGTAGACCCTTGAGTGCCTTTGGAGAACAGGCCTGCAGCCCCTTCTGATCTTTGTCTCCTGGGCCCCAGGGAGCACCTGGCCTCGTGGCCTTTCGGGGTGACCACACGCATCACACCCCTGAAGAAGTTTGCAAGTTAGAAGAGGTGGAGGCCTCACGGAGCAGTGTCTAATGACACTTGTTCTCTTTTGAGACAGCCGACTTCCAGCTCCGTTCCATCATTCTCCACACTTGCGTTTAAGTGTGGGAGCTGCCCCTTGTCTTCTCTGCATGCCTGACCCACTACCACTCCTGTCTGGATATTTCCGTTGCCAATAATCTCCTCACCCTGGAAAGGGGCCACTCTTAGTGAGCTTTAGCGAGCCGACCTAATGGGGGTGCAGGCCACCCTTGGACTGCCCCATGCTGAGTGGGCTGACATGGGGCCCCTGTCAGGGTCTAGGTGCGCTGAGAACCGGAAATGGAGTCAGACGGATTTGGTGACTCAGAATTGATTTTTTCCCCCCTAAGGGACAGGGAGGGGGCTTAGAGGAGGGGGGTGAGGAGTGAGGCAGGGGGATGGGGAAAGAGCTGCTTTGCACAGCTAAGATGTTTTTGTCATTAACCCAGAAACTGAGGTACAAGGGCAACCCCTGGACAAAGCCCCCCTAAGAAGGGGAGGGGCTTGCGTAGCTGATCAAGGAGACTTTGAAGATGCCAAAGGGTCCAAAGGCAGCAGTTTCTCTACTCTCTGGCCATCCTCTCAGTGCAGGACCTGAGAAGCTGAGTGTAACTTTGATGATACTATGGTAACTTGGGTGGAGCACAATGAGGCTATGGGGGTGGGGATCTGGGAGGGTACTCGTCTGGGATGCCACAGAGTAGCAGAAAGGACCCGCGTAAGCAGTCTCAAAAAGGGACTCAGGGATCTGTAGAAAAATGTTAGAATCATTTCCCTTTTAAATGGGGAAGCAAGACCCAGAAAAGAGACATTTACCCACCGTTACCCGCCTAGTTAGCAGTGGAGCCCTGTACTGTACCTGAGTGAGGGGTCTTTATGATCCTCCCTGTTGGGTCATCTCATCTGAGAGGGCACATGAAGGAAGAATGAGTACGTGTGAATGACCCATCGAAAGCTTCTGCAGGAGTCCTGAGTGCTTGTCAGGGAGTGTGGGCTTCACAGCACTGGGCTTCAGGCCCTGCTGGGCTCTGGGAAGGGGATGGACCTTCTGAGCTGTGCTTCTCCTCCAGGGGCCGAACTGGAGGAGAGTAACAAAAACATGAAGAAGCTGGACGCCATGACCCTCATTAAAGAAGGTGGGAGTCGACACACATGGGACTGAGACTGGGGACATTGGACCACCCTTCCTCTTCCACTCGGGGAGGTGGCCTGAAGCAGCAAGCCTGCTGGGGAGCCTCGTTTTCATAGTCTGAGCCAGCTGCCCTGGCTCCTATGGCCCGTTGTTGGAGAGCCTCTTCGGAGTGGTTGACGCCCACACTCATGAAAGCCCATACACTTTAGGTCTCGTTAGACTAGACTGTGGAAGCTGGGAGCATCCCCCCAAAAGCCCACATGTCAGTTGGAAGGCAGAGTGCCTTCTAAGTAGTGGGGTGAGAGCATCTTTGATGTAGAGACATCCCGGGTCCTTCACCCCAGTGACACAGGCTTCTGTCTTGCAGACATGTCCATCTTCGGGCACTGCCCTGCCCATGATGACTTCTATTTGGTTGTATGTAACCACTGCAGCCAGGTGGTGAAGCCTCAAGCTTTCCAGAAGCATTGCGGTGAGGGCCATCCCAGGGAGGTGACAAGGGGACAGGAAGGGGGAACGTGGACCTCTTGGGACAGTGTCAGTTGGGAGGTCAGGGGGGATAAAGGATGGTGGTGCTGGGTTAGTGTTTGAACAAACTTCTAGAATCCAGTAGAGTTAAGTGGTTCAAGAAGTTTGATCTAGCATTTCGAATCTTGAAGGCTCAATTTTGGATGGGAAGGAGACAAAGTCACAACCCAAGCTTTAGCAATTCAGATTCTGTCAGAGAATTGGTGGGCTGGTTAGGAGACTGGGGAAGGAGGCAGTCAATACCACTCACCTCAGTTGCTCTCTCCACCTCCTGGTGACAGAAAGAAGACATGGGCCCCTCAGCAAGCTTTATGCCCGGGCCCCACCCCCACCTCCAGCCCCTGCCAGCTCTCAGAAATGCCATGTAGTGAATGGGCAGGGCCCAGCTTGTAGAGCCCCAGGTTCCACCAAAACCTCCTCCAGGGAGAAGGGCCAGGGGTCCCGGAGCCGTGGCCATCAGCCGCCTGAGAAGACCCAGAAGGACAACCTCTGGTAAGAGGCTAGAAACACCCAAAGATTAGCCCTGACCCTGACCCTGACCCTGACCCAAGAAAGGGTTGACACTTAGCCCTGGGGTGCAAGATACTGCTCATGGAAGAAATAGCTAACCCCATCTCCAGCTCCTTCCCATATATTCCAGGGAACATGGGCTCCCCCTTTTTCCACGCCTCTCTT